GTGCGCGTGCGCGTGCGCGTGGGCGTGGGCGTGGGCGTGGGCGTGTGCGTGTGCGTGTGCGTGCGCGTGTGCGTGTGCGTGTGCGTGTGCGCGTGCGCGTGCGCGTGCGCGTGCACGTGCGCGTGCGCGTGCGCGTGCGTGCGTGCGTGCGTGCGTGCGTGCGTGGGTGGGTGGGTGGGTGGGTGTGTTTGTGTGTGTGTGCATGTGTGCGTGCGCGCGTGTGTGCGTACGCGTGTGTGTGTCTGCGTGTCTGCGTGTCTGCGTGTCTGTGTGTCTGTGTGTGCGCGTGTGTGTGTGTGTGTGTGTGCGTGTGTGTGTGTGTGTGTGCGTGTGTGTGCGTGTGTGTGTCTGTGTGTGTCTGTGTGTGTCTGTGTGTCTGTCTGTGTGTCTGTCTGTGTGTCTGTCTGTGTGTCTGTCTGTGTGTCTGTCTGTGTGTCTGTGTGTGTCTGTCTGTGTGTCTGTCTGTGTGTCTGTCTGTGTGTCTGTCTGTGTGTCTGTCTGTGTGTCTGTCTGTGTGTCTGTCTGTGTGTCTGTGTGTCTGTGTGTGTGTCTGTGTATGTGTGTGTGTGTGTGTGTCTGTGTGTGTGTGTCTGTGTGTGTGTGTCTGTGTGTGTGTATGTGTGTGTTTGTTCTTGGGTTTGTGCTTGTGCTTGTGTTTTCTCTTTGCGTTTGCGTCTTTGTCTGTAGTCGTGGTTATGCTCGTGCTTGTATTTGTGCTTCTGCTTGTGTGTGTGTGTGTTTGTGTTTGTGCTTGTGATGTGTTTGTCTGTGTTTTGTGTGCGAGGTCGTGCGTGTTGTGTCTGTGTGTGTGTGCGTGTTTGTGGTCTCTGGTTTGTGTGTGTGTTTCTGTGTTTGTGCGTGTGTGTCTGTGTGTCCATGTGGTATGTGAGGGTAGGTCCGTGTGTCCGCGTGTCTGTCCGCGTGTCTGTCTGGTCAAGCATCACCATGGAGCCCATTGTTGCATTTGGCCAGGGAAGCAAGCCAAGTGTTTCAGATTGTCCTTGGGGACTGTGTCACATCATGAAACAAGCTACAAAAGAAAGCACAAGAGACGCAAACAGCAAGGACGCCAAACATGCGGTGACTTCAAGGCAATCCGTGACCCTTGAGGCGTGAAGCAAGCGAACCCACGCGCGTTGGAACGTGTTTGATGAATTTGGCTTCTGAGACTTCAGGCTTGACTGGAATGAAGAAAAATGCTCATGAAAAGGCTTCACACTCGGTCACTCTAGTAAGCAACAAACAGGCAAGCAAGTCAGCATCAAACAAAAGCAGAACATGCCATTTGATTCCGGCCCGCCATAAACTTGCCTGCACCATGAAACTACCACTATCCAAGACTACAAAGCCCTCGCCCGGCCTTGTCCATGAAGTCCCTGTACTTCTTGTCCGTCTCCTCGTCCGGGACCTTAAACCTCTGCTGCACTGGCACTTCCTGGCCGACACCAACGATCAAACAAGGCGTTCGCAAGTTCAGGTTTGGGGGAGGCAAAGGCCCAAGCTTTCTGACAGTCGGAAGTTTCAAGGTATTTGTGGTAGCTAACGTCTGACTTTGAGGGCCTTGGGCGTTGCAAGTCGAGCGAGGGCAGCGGTGCAGGAGGGGAAGATATATACTCTTTCTTGGAAGCTTGCTGAAGGATGACTGCATGCGCGGGTTTCTGCGGTGCAACGCTAAATATCAGGAAAAGACGTCATATTGGCCGGGCATTTTCGTTGGCTGTCCCCTTCCTGCTGATGCGCTTGAAATATCTTGGCCAACAGCGGATTCGGGACTATTCCAACACCATTGAACTTTCCCTTGCAGCAAGCTGTCAGCCTTGCTTGGATTGGCTTGGGGCTCCAAGGGCGTGACATGCCACGACCGACAGCCTTAGCCCAGCATGCTGTGATGTGTTTTGTCGCTCCAAAACACATGCAACATCAGCAGACATCTCTGAACCAAAGCAAGGCCGTTCCTTCTCAAGAAACTTGCTGCCTAAATCGTGACCATCAACTTCACAGCTTTTGAGAGTTTTTAAATTGTACATCGGAACGAGTGATGTTTGGTTCAGCATCACAATCCTTTACAGGGTCTCTGAGTTGGATGACCCTGAATGGATTCTGAAATGAGTTTTCTAGCATGCTACAGAAGTGCTTGCTGAACTTTGGTGCAAGCTGGAATTCGCTTGTTCCCCGACTTGAAGCACGAGAGGAAAAAGTGCAATCCATCGAGTCGCAACTGGCAGCAAGCTGGTCCTCCAACTGGCGCCGGCTGTTGTTCAAGAGGTGGTCAGGCAACTGGCACGCGACATGGAAGACATGGAAAACAGGTCCAAAACGTTTCAAGAGATAGGTGAGACCCGACGTGATCTGCACCGTTCAGCTTGCACAGAGGGAAGGAGCCATGATACCCAAGCCGGGAGCCACATGAAGAATATCATGGAGCTGGCATGCATGCAGTCCAAGGTGTGTTGGATTCGCCATGAAGCACTAGGAACCGGAGCCGCAAATCAGCCATAGAGCAAATGGACAGCCTTGTCAGCGAGGTCAGGTCACCTGCTTGACATGCAGCCGATGTCCCGGCTGCCAAACTTATCACTGGACCGAACACCATGCAGGAATGTGGGCCAAGTCAAAATGAATGCCAATCAGGGACCGTTCGCCCTTTCAGATGGCTTTGGCTGTTTGCTTCACAAGCATAGACCTCTCCCTGAGAAGCTTCTAATTTCTGTTGCTCGATTTACACAAGAAAACGATCCCCAATACCCCTGACGGGCCATGTGGCCTTGAAGTTTGCCATCTCCGGCAATTTGGGCAGGGCGTCACGCCACTCCTGGCCGCCGGCATTGATCAGAAGGGTCTTCGATAAATGGGTCTGTGCCATGTTCAGGGTACCCTGTTTGGGGTTGGCTTAAATGAAAACCAGAGGAACAAACGATTTGATGGGGGTTCCGCTGTTTTGACATGTCACATACCCAACTTATGATTCCATTCGAATGTTTGTCGGCTTTCTGGTGCGGACCGTGTCTACAACTTCCCTGTGCTTTGTTCGGAGGACATCACAGCTTGTGGCGGTCCAACTGCCAATGCAAACAAGACACATGCCATTTTGCAACATTGGCAAAGGCAGCACGCGCGTTTGACTGTCTGACTCTCTTGGTCGAGCTCGCTGGACACTCGAACTGACACGAAGTGAAAACAAACAAACAAACAAACAAACAAACCAAACCAAACCAAACCAAACCAAACCAAACCAAACCAAACCAAACCAACAAACAACCAACCAACCAACCAAACAAACAAACAAACAAACAGCAAAGTTAAATCCATGATGCCAAATCTGAGAGGCCGCAATGTTAGGCATCGACTCAACGGTGGCTACAGCCCTCGTCGGCTCCTCAGGATCTCCAAAGTCCACTGTGTACCTCGCAGGCGTGGACTCCCGATGCGCTACGATAAACCTAGTGTCGCGAAGAACAAAGCAGAACAGATCCTTGGTTCTTGCAACAGAAATCGACATTCTCTCAAAGAAGCGCAGCTGGCTTGAGGGTCTGACGTGGCTCTTGCGGATACGGGTTCCTTGTTCATACCCCTCATGCTGCCAGAACACTGTATACAACCTGAATGGACAACCTGCCAAGTCACCAAGTCACCAAGCCACCAAGCCACCAAGCCACAAAGCCACCTGCCTCTTCTTTTTTCCATCGAGAACCGCCCCCGGCTTTCTCGGGCCCCCGGCTCCACACCCCAATCCTGGACCTTACGGTTGAACCGCAGCGCCGGGTCCGTGTAGATCTCCGGGATGGTGGCCTCAATGTACCTGGAAAAAGAAAGGCATCGAAACACGACTGAAAGAAATGTCCGGAAATACCGCAATGTACCTGCAAGAACGGACCCAAAACATGCCTCAATGTACCTGAAAATCAATTGGTGTACCTGGAATGTCGGTAGGAATGCTTCAATGGAGCTACAAAATCCACCTGCATGCATGCGTTGGTGTGCCTGCATGCAGGCTTTGCCTCTTGGCCCGCACCTAAATGTACTGGATGTGCAGTGGGTTTGAAAGCAGATGTAAAAGCTTTAACAACTTTAGCAAGCCCTGTCAAATCGGCTGAAGCTGTTGCTCTGAAGGATCTTCATCCACCGCCAAAGGACATCCCACTTCTCTTCATCGAGCAGCAAATCCCAGCTAGCGGTCTTGACTTGCAGCCAACACAATTGAGCATCGACTTGCGCCGCGAACACACACACACACACACATCAACACAATTTCTTCAGTCAGACACCGCTTTATGCGTCTTTCCAATCAAGAAGTGCAATCCTTGTGGCAGGTGTGGGACCGTAGACTATCACGCCCTTTTTATTGCACGACTCATAATAAAGAGCTTCCCAGGTTGACCGAGCACACTTGCATAGCTCAGAAACCGAGCCAACGATGCGTCCCTTTTTTTAATGCGCCAAATTTAGCTTGCCCGTTTGGAGTTTAGACCCCAAAACAAAGTTCCACGTTCCCCGCTTTTCATCCCAACCGGCCCCCTCTTCTTTTTCGCGGTTTGCATCCACAGCATCGCGCAGGATTCGGGCGCTGGGCACCTGCGGAGTATTGGGATCTCTCCAGCTTTCCACTTCACCGCAAGGAAGCTTTTCTCGTTCTCTCGGGCTTGCCGCCACGTCACGTTTGAGCTTCCCTCAAAAAGGGTGGTTTGGATTGGTGGATTGGTGGTTAGGGCTGGTTTCCCATGTACCCTCTACAAGAATGCCCATACCCAAACCACCAAATGCCGAAAGCACCAACCCAAACCACCAAATCAGGGTTGCCTGATCTGTAGTTGGGAAACCACCCGCAGCTTTCCAAGGAGAAACCCCGGTCACAGTTCCCATCCAAGGGTTTATGTGCTCCTTCCAATGTCCATGCTTCTTGCGATCCATGTTTTTGTCTTCTCAAATTAGAGATCAAGAATGTTTGCCTTTGTGATTCTGTTTGGGGCATCTCCCGCCTGTAGAGCAAGCCTACTCACACCCACCACAAAGGTATGATTGATCCGTGGCATATTTCACCCAATCAGCGCCTTCCTTTCGGGAATCTGGGGCCTTGTGCCAACAAGTAAATGCAATGTGTAGACGTGGGCTTTTCGCTCACCTTGGTCTCCGGGGCCGGCCACTCGGCAAAAACCAGTGTGGTGTAATCTGCTTCGCCGTCCCTGCGAAGGTGGGGCGGGTTTGGGTCTTTAGATTCTCGATTTGTTGTGCCGAATAACGACGGTGCTGCAAAGAGTTGCGTTGCTGTGCTCGAGGAGGGTTAGCAACACGTATTGTCCACCCCAATGGGTAAGTCGAACACGAAATCCATGGCTCTGTGCTCTCTTTGACTCAGTCAAGAGCAACTCGTAGTAGTCACAGCGTTGGCAGCGTTGTCTGTACACATCCTGATTATCACCTATCGCAAAATCAAGAAGCCCTTGCAAATCCAACCATCTCTGCGAGGGATTCGTGCTGCTTCGGTTCAGGATTGTCAGACTTGCCAAGACCTCGCGCTTGCCTCCTCCACGCGCTGCTCCGGGTCCAACAAATAGATCCTCTTCGAGGCCCCTCCGCTCGGAAGCCTGCAAGTTCCGGCTGCGAGGGCAAGGGGACTTGAAGGGCATGTACGGATTCTCCTTTTCGGGCTTGAAAGCTGCTGCTCCAAATGTCGACAAAAAGTGCTGGAATCAGCAAATGTCGCAGCGCAAACTGTTCAAAATGATGCCCTGCCATCAAGGTGCCATCCAAAACCATGGTCTGTAAAAGTCGTGCTTGGCTTGGAACGGTCATCGGGCACTTTCAAGGGCCTCCCTGCCCCCTCAAGTTCCAGCCCTACCATCCGCTCTCTGGCGCTGAAGATACTAATGAATGCCTCTACTTTCCCGTGTTCAAAGCATCCCAAGCCCCGAGCTCCTGCAAACTCCTTCCCCTTTGCCCAACAAAACTAAGGCGCTTGGACACTGCTTAGACAGGGAAAGCCAGTGGGAGCGGGGATAGGGGAGAGGGGCTTGGGATAAATCATCCAATTCCATTAGCCACAGAAAGAACAAAGGCGAAGACCGCAGAAAACTGGCCTCGGGAAAATGAGTAAGGATGGGGGAACCCGGAGTACCTTGCAACCTGGAGTTCTAGCGCAAGCAGGATTGCTCTCACCACTGCAATGAACTCACTCATACTGCAATAATGAAGGAATGAAGGATTTCCACACCACTATATTGAGAAAAAAGAAGAAGTATGTAATCATGAAATTGAAAGCAGCATCTAAGTTGTGCTGCAACCTGACTGAAGGCCCGCGAGGCCTACGGACCACCTCCCCGATATCTTCATCACTTGGCTCCCCGCTCCACGAGGTACCCCAAGTGGAACTCTCGGCCCACCTGATACCGACGAGCATGCCAAAACCTCAAGAGGGCCGCGATTTCACGCTCAGTCCTTACGACCAAGGACAAAGATCCATTCGAATTGACGACCATCCGTTCTCAGCAATCCTGTTCCACGGAGGTGGAAAAAGGATTCCAACAAAATTGATGAACACATTCGCTCTCTCGAGATGTGTGTCACATGCGTGACATTCTGTTCGAAGCCCCCTCCGGCGAATGACTTGCCCCACCCCCCTAAGTCACTTCTGGACCAATTCTTCATTGGTAGCCAGGTGGGTGATAATCCTTTCATCCGGATGGCACATTGCCCTGCGAAGTGCTCTGAACGCATTGCAATCAGAAACAGATAGCAAATGGGTGCCCCCCCCCCCAAAAAAAAAACAACAAATGAGGATAAAAAAAAGGAAAGAGGGGGATCTACTCTCCCCCGACCAAAAAAAAAGGGGGGGCCTGTTGGTGTCCCTTCAAACCACCCGGAGAAAACGCAGACCCATATCTGCATGTCTGCTTGATGTTCAACCCACACCCCATCCTCGGCCATGGTCTTCTCGACGATTGGCTTCCAGCCCCTCCGCCTCACCAGGCCTGGCATCTTCACAGAGCGATGCACCCGACATACGCCAGGGCGAAAGATGGCACAATTCCCTGGGTACGTAAAGGGAATGGATGACAAAGCCCAAATGTGGGAGTTGTGCCACCTACTTTCACCCAACTGTCCCCGCCAGTGCTCCACAAAAGTGTGGTTAGGACAGACATCCGCTTCTCGCTCATGCAAAAGCCCATTTAGCATGGTCCGCCTGTAACCAGCACGGTAACAATTGACTGAGTCCAGGGCAACCATCGCAACAAGAAAAGTGGCTGCAAGCTGATGCGTAATTATTGCCATGCTTTGATCTCATTGACATCAACGTCTCCAGCTAGCACACATTCGAAACTGGATTGTAGCCATCCCAACAAATCGCAATGATAGAGCTACCGCAACGCAAGTGTCTTGACCCGTTCGGGCTGCCAATCTGCGGCGAGCCTTGGACCCGAGCGGACACACAACCCACAGCCCAAAAACAAAACAAAAACCAACACCTCTGCGAGTTTCTCCCTGTCCTCGCGCGCTGCGTGCGACAAGGGCGGTGAGAAGGCGTTTAGACCTGAGACCACTTGGAGGCACTGGGAGCCAGGCTAAGCGGCCAACCACTGGGATTCAAGTCACTGGTTGAATTTCCCCGGATGCTAGGCCAAAAGAATCTGCAACACTAGCCATTCAGAATTTCATGAGGCACCGGAATTCTACCGGAACTCGGCTGAACTCTGCGGCTTTACCCACGTGGAGTCGGCGAAAGCTCAAGTTGGACATGGCTATGCCATGCACTTCTGACTTGAGTAGTCCAAGTTCAGCTGTTTTTGTTGATAGGCTACGCCAAGCAACTTGTATGCCTCGCAGCTACGATTGCGCCCTTGGGACTCCTGGCTCTATGTCAGTGCCTACCGTCGCCAGTTCTCCCTTTTGTTGGGGTGGTGGTGTCATCTTGCGATAGTTTGCGCCACCTACGGTGGCGGAAAAACATGGCCGTTTGTCTGCCGATATCGCGCTCTATTGCATCTACTTGCGCATGCACTCAATTGCACCTAATTGAATCGCAACACAAGTTCTTGCCAAGGAAGGCGCTTTACCCCAAATCATGCTGTGATAATTACCCACATTCAAACACATGGAAGGGGTCGTCTGCGCACTCGATTGGGCACTCAACTGTTCAATCCCAATAGATCTCTCCTGCTAGAAACTGCTTATGCAAACACAGACCAAGAATCACTAGACACAGCCCAAACACTGGCCGCGTTCCGCAATCTCAATTGCTTTAGCTTCAGCCACCCTGCCAAACTGCCGGGAAGTCCCCAAGTCGAAACCACGCAAACTGCCCCCGATTAAGAACAAGAGCTTCCCAGCGCTTGCTTTCTCCCGACCGTAGCGTCCGGCAGTGGGCCCGCGAAGTTCCGGCGGAGGCTGTTCACCTCAGTCTACCGATCCAACTGCCCAGGAGGCGCGACATGGGTGTCATTAAAAAGCCCCGTTTGAGAAACCAAAAGGAACACCCCTACAGTCCGCCTTTGATACAGACCAAAATCTCTGGAAGCTGTGCATGTGTGTGTGTGTGGGTGTGTGTGTGTGTGTGTCGCTTCACCGTAATGTCCCAAATCCCCAAACTAATGAAACATGTTGCCAGTTGCTCACATGGGTGTGCAGTTTTTGAAGTGTGGCTGGTTGGGGGTTGTGACAAAGGAAAACTAAGAGGCTCCAGATGTCTGGGAATCCGCGCTACAGATCCGGCCACGCCCTGCAGGGGCAAGGACTGCAGAAGCACCCACTGGTCTTCGTCATCCCAGCGCCTGCGATAGTGACCCCTTTCGAATCCACTTGGGCGAAAATACAACTCCTCCATGGTTTAGTCATCCGGTTACTTCCCCACATAAAGGGAATGCCATCCACTTTCACCTTGGTGTATACAAAGGGAAGCCGGCGGTGGGTTCTGGCAGCCCTTGGCATTCATTGGTATGTTTGCTTTGCAGCTTCATCAGAAACCCACAGCTTCATCCCTATTCTTGGGTCGCTTCGTGGGGTGCCAGCCTTTTTGGTTCCCCGTGGCTCCCGAGCATCTCCTTATGCTAACGCGAGGAAACGGACACCCTCCTGGATGGTCCAGTCCTTATGGTTAACGGAGGACTGTGGCCCTCAGGCGCCTTTAGGCTCTCCCTCCCATCGAGTGGCTCTGTCGACAGGATCCGAGAGTTTGGACGCAGTTGGTGCTAACTCAAAACTAAAAATTTAACATGCAAAGGTGCGGTTCGCCCTGTTGCCTTCTGATCATGGGCACCATGCTCGCCCTGACTAAGCCGTGAAGCCAATTTTCTGATTCCCGCATGTTTACATCCAAGAAAAAAACTGCATCCAAGGCACCCGTAGAAGCGCAACACCACTGTGCAAGGCACCAGCAACTCCTTTGCAAGAGGAGGAATGCGTGTCATTCTCCACCAGAACCAGCGGTGCTTGCGAAAAGACCAGAAACAAATGCCAATCATTGGCGTCAGATGAACCTGCTGTTCAGGTTTGGGAAGATGCTGGTCGTGCATTTGTATCATTGTTTGTCAGCCAGGAATCGCGGTCGTCCAACCCCGTTAGAGAAATCGAATTTGCCCGGAAACGTGGATGCCAGCTGGCGTGAGTCAATCCTGGTCTGGTCGCGCAACAAGTCCTGATGGTCTGATGCAGTGGTGCTATCTACGCAGCATATCCGGGCATCCAACCTCTGCCAAACTGATTATAACGAGCTCTGAGCCAAAGTGCTTGCCATCTAGCCACTTGCAAGGGGACCTTGTCCAATTCGGCGATACACCCCAAGGAACTCTCCCGTTGGCCCGCTCTCAAACCCCCCCTCCTGGACCGGAGCAGGCCTGAGTCGAGCCAAGCTCTCCATGCGGATGGCAAGGAATCCTCTGGCGCTTCTCATTGGTTTACGATCGGTTTTTGTGCAAATGCACCTAACATAACATACCAACCATGCCTTGACCCGGCGCAAGATGATTGCCCTCTTGCAAAACAAATGGGGCCATCGCTGTAGGGACCCTGTGATGTTGATATGGAAAGCTCAGCATAAGAAAGCATAATAATGGCTTTTGTTTTTGGTGACAGGAGACCAACCAAAAGCCTCTCTATCCAGAATCATTTGCCACATATTTACAAGACGTGAATTTAAGCGTTGAGACGACAAGCTCAACGAAAAACATACAACCCTCGATCAATGACACAGCCTCCAGCCTCCGATCCCTTCCGAAAAATTTAGGCACCAGGCGCTTTGGCTGCGGTGCCTGCGCTCCACTGAGCCGAGGCAAAAGAGAGCGCAACCAAAAGACTCCTCGAACTTCCGCACTGCGGCGTCCCTAAGGAAACTCGATCTCGTGTTCTTGCCAATGACCTTCCAGGCTCCATGTTGAACAGTGAGAGGACAACACGTCGTTCGTTTTTGCTTGGGGGGACTCCTCCTGCACAAATAATCCTTCCCATATTACATCGTGCCATGTCTGCTGAAAACGTAAGCAAACACAGCCAATTTGCCCAGCCTTTGCTGTCCACAGCCTCGGGCGCTGCCTGCGCAAATGGTCTGTGAAGGGAACGAATGAGCGTTTGGAAGGGGGGCCACATGTCTGGGTGTGTGTGTGTGTGATGTCTGCATGTATGCGTGCGCATTCTGCACCCATGCTGCCTGCATGTCTGTGCAGGTGCCGGCACAGGTAGGAAAGGAGCGCAAGCTCTTGCGTTAGCGATTCCCCGTGCACGTGCGTGTGCATGCGCTTGCTCGTGCCTCTGCATGTGCGTGTGCATGCGCGCAGACACATGTGCGTGTCTCGCGCGTGCGGGCGGAGGGGCATATGGGTGTGTGTGGGCGTGCGCGCTTGTGCGAATGTGCTCAAGTGCGGCGCGCACCGCGCGCGGGCACGCGGGCATGCGCAAGCAATAGGCCTGCTTACTCTCACTGCTACACCCACATCTGCTCATGCTTCTACCGCTGCTAATGCCACTGCTGCGACTTGTGCACTTGCACTGCTGCTATTGCTGCGGACTGTGTGAGCTTCACGAAACCGAAGCCCCACCTCGCCAAAGCCAGGGAAGGCCCCCTTGGTGGCGGTGATGAGCACCGCCAGCACCATGGCCCTTGCGACTCGAGGCGAGCGGGATTGGAGTTCGCCGCGGAAAACGAACACTCTTCGTCTGGTTGGCTGAAAAAGGGAACGGGTCGAGATTTAATTTGGGAATTTTGTTTGTTTTATTTTGGGATTTTTTTTTGTTTTCCGTCCTGGCTACTAAAATGCTGTAATTTACAGCATTTTCTCGCGAAATGCACGTATTTTACGCTAGTCCGTCAACATCATCAGCATCGTTTTCAACATCCCCCGCATGTCCAGCCAACATCCCCAGCATCACCAGCAAATTGGCTTCCGATTCAAATACGGGCAAACTAATCCTTGTAAAACACCTAAAACGTGGCGGCAGCCCCCCCCATGATGATTGAAAAAGTGACGACGGCAGCCCCCCCCCATGATGATTGAAGAAGTGATGATTCCAAAAGGGCCAAAACAAAAACAAACAACAAAAACAAAAAAAAACAGTGGGGGGGGGGTTCAGTTCCTCTGCGGCAAGGCCTCATGGTACAAGTGAGGATTCAAATACGGGCAAACTAATCCCTGTAAAACACCTAAAACGTAGTTAGGGCCAAAAAAATATTAAAAAAAGCAGCGGGGGGGTGAACAGTTCCACCACGGCAAGGCCTCATGGTACAAGTGAGGATTCAAATACGGGCAAACTAATCCCTGTAGATCGAAAAAGTGATGATTCAATCAGGGGCAAAAAGTCTAAAAAATAGCGGGGGGGTTGGGGGGGGCGGCAGCCCCCCCCATGATGATCAAAAAATTAAGGGCAAAGAATCTAAAAAGGAGCGGTCGCATGATAATCGAAAAAGTGATGATTCAATTAGGGGCAAAAAGTCCAACAAATAGCGGGGGGGTTGGGGGGGGCGGCAGCCCCCCCCATGATGATTGAAGAAGTGATGATTCAAAAAGGGCCAACAAAAAAAAAAAACAGCCGGGGGTCATCAGTTCCTCTGCGGCAAGGCCTCATGGTACAAGTGAGGATTCAAACACGGGCAAACTAATCCCTGTAAAACACCTAAAACGTAGCGGGGGGGGGGGGGCAATTCCCTCCATGATGATTGAAAAAAGTGATGATTCAATTAAAGGCGCGGGGGGGGGGGGGGGCGGCAGCCCCCCCATGATGATCGAAAAAGTGATGATTCAATCAGGGGCAAAAAGTCTAAAAAATAGCGGGGGGTTGGGGGCGGCAGCCCCCCCATGATGATCGAAAAATTAGGGGCAAAGAATCTAAAAAGTAGCGGTCGCATGATGATCGAAAAAGTGATGATTCAATTAGGGGCAAAAAGTCCAACAAATAGCAGGGGGGGGGGGGGCGGCAGCCCCCCCCCATGATGATCGAAAAAGTGACAATTCAATCAGGGGCCAAAAGTCTAAAAAAACTGCGGGGGGGTTGGGGGGGGCGGCAGCCCCCCCCATGATGATTGAAAAAGTGATGATTCAATTAGGGCAAAAAAAAAAAAAAGCAGCGGGGGGTCATCAGTTCCTCTGCGGCAAGGCCTCATGGTACAAGTGAGGATTCAAATACGGGCAAACTAATCCCTGTAGATCGAAAAAGTGATGATTCAATCAGGGGCAAAAAGTCTAAAAAATAGCGGGGGGGTTGGGGGGGGGCGGCAGCCCCCCCCATGATGATCAAAAAATTAAGGGCAAAGAATCTAAAAAGGAGCGGTCGCATGATAATCGAAAAAGTGATGATTCAATTAGGGGCAAAAAGTCCAACAAATAGCGGGGGGGTTGGGGGGGGCGGCAGCCCCCCCCATGATGATTGAAGAAGTGATGATTCAAAAAGGGCCAACCAAAAAAAAAACAAAAACAGCCGGGGGTCATCAGTTCCTCTGCGGCAAGGCCTCATGGTACAAGTGAGGATTCAAACACGGGCAAACTAATCCCTGTGAAACACCTAAAACGTAGCGGGGGGGGCGGCAATTCCCTCCATGATGATTGAAAAAGTGATGATTCAATTAAAGGCGTGGGGAGGGGGTTGGGGGGGGGGCGGCAGCCCCCCCATGATGATCGAAAAAGTGATGATTCAATCAGGGACAAAAAGTCTAAAAAATAGCGGGGGGGTTGGGGGGGGGGCGGCAGCCCCCCCCATGATGATCGAAAAATTAGGGGCAAAGAATCTAAAAAGTAGCGGTCGCATGATGATCGAAAAAAGTGATGATTCAATTGGGGGCAAAAAGTCCAACAAATAGCAGGGGGGTTGGGGGGGGCGGCAGCCCCCCCCATGATGATCGAAAAAGTGATAATTCAATCAGGGGCCAAAAGTCTAAAAAATTGCGGGGGCGTTGGGGGGGGCGGCAGCCCCCCCCCATGATGATTGAAAAAGTGATGATTCAATTAGGGCCAAAAAAAAACAGCAGGGGGGTCATCAGTTCCTCTGCGGCAAGGCCTCATGGTACAAGTGAGGATTCAAATACCGGCAAATTAATCCCTGTAAAACGGCACCCCCCCCCATGATGATCGAAAAAATAGGGGCAAAGAATCTAAAAAGTAGCTGTCGCATGATGATCGAAAAAAGTGATGATTCAATTGGGGGCAAAAAGTCCAACAAATAGCAGGGGGTTTGGGGGGGCGGCAGCCCCCCCCATGATGATTGAAGAAGTGATGATTCAAAAAGGGCCAACCAAAAAAAAAAAAAGAAAACAGCCGGGGGTCATCAGTTCCTCTGCGGCAAGGCCTCATGGTACAAGTGAGGATTCAAACACGGGCAAACTAATCCCTGTAAAACACCTAAAACGTAGCGGGGGGGGAGGGGGGGGCGGCAATTCCCTCCATGATGATTGAAAAAGTGATGATTCAATTAAAGGCGCGGGGGGGCTTGGGGGCGGCAGCCCCATGATCGAAAAAGCGATGATTCAATCAGGATCGAAAAAGTGATGATTCAATCAGGGGCAAAAAGTCTAAAAAATAGCGGGGGGGTTGGGGGGGGGCAGCCCCCCCATGATGATCGAAAAATTAGGGGCAAAGAATCTAAAAAGTAGCGGTCGCATGATGATCGAAAAAAGTGATGATTCAATTAGGGGCAAAAAGTCCAAAAAATAGCGGGGGGTTGGGGGGGGCAGCCCCATGATGATCCAGGGGCAAAAAGTCCGGGGGGGGTTGGGGCGGCAGCCCCCCCCATGATTGAAAAAGTGATGATTCAATTAGGGCCAAAAAATAAAAAGCAGCAGGGGGGTCATCAGTTCCTCTGCGGCAAGGCCTCATGGTACAAGTGAGGATTCAAATACGGGCAAACTAATCCCTGTAAAACGGCACCCCCCCCCATGATGATCGAAAAAATAGGGGCAAAGAATCTAAAAAGTAGCTGTCGCATGATGATCGAAAAAGTGATGATTCAATTGGGGCAAAAAGTCCAACAAATAGCAGGGGGGTTGGGGGGGGCGGCAGCCCCCCCCATGATGATTGAAGAAGTGATGATTCAAAAAGGGCCAACAAAAAAAAAAAAACAGCCGGGGGTCATCAGTTCCTCTGCGGCAAGGCCTCATGGTACAAGTGAGGATTCAAACACGGGCAAACTAATCCCTGTAAAACACCTAAAACGTAGCGGGGGGCGGCAATTCCCTCCATGATGATTGAAAAAGTGATGATTCAATTAGGGCCAAAAAAAAAACAGCAGGGGGGTCATCAGTTCCTCTGCGGCAAGGCCTCATGGTACAAGTGAGGATTCAAATACGGGCAAACTAATCCCTGTAAAACGGCACCCCCCCCCCCATGATGATCGAAAAAATAGGGGCAAAGAATCTAAAAAGTAGCTGTCGCATGATGATCGAAAAAGTGATGATTCAAATAGGCGTGCATTTTAATCGAAAGGGGGGTGGCGGGGGGCCCAGAGAGGAACTTGCGATGCTGAGGATGCAGGAAGCCAACTGGGAAAGCATCAGGATGCGAAAAGCCAAAGCCAGAAAGCCGCCAAAAGCCAAAAAGCCAAAAAGCCAAAAAGCCAAAAAGCCAAAAAGCCACCTGCCGCAGCGGAACTGGCAATGCAGAGGATGCGAAAAGAGAGGAACTGTGAATGCAGATGATGCGAAATGAAAAGCCACGAAAGCCACATACAAGCCACAAAAGCCAAAAAGCCGAAAAGCCACCGACCCTGAAAAACAAAAATAATTCCTAAAAAAAAACGAAACAAAATCCTAAAAAAAATGGCCCTCCAAAGGGAACTGTCGGCGCCACTGAAACTCAAGTTGCATCTCGAAATACAAGCGGCACTTTCCCAGTGTCCTTGGACCATGCAAATGGGGCCCTTGATCTGACAGGTGGCTGCGCAGATTGTTTTGAGGTGAGCTGGGAGAGAGACATAGTCCCTGGTCAGGGCAATATCTATAGGCCCGAGTTGTTTTTCTGTTTTTTTTGGTTTTCCGGAGGCCTCCCTTGGGACGAATGTAGGAAAATTGTCAAAGTGAAAGTGACGACAAACAAAACCCAAGCATCTGCATCTTGTTGATATTGCTGGCTGCAAGCTGTAGCAGAGCCGGACCACATGCTGAACCTAGCCGGGTGTTCTCAGGCCGCTGCAGTTCTGAACTGGCTTGTGCTTCAGCTTGAACAAACCGTTGCACCAGGCGTCAACGAGCAACTATCGAAGACACATCTCCCAGTATGGAATTTGAAGCTGAATTGCAACTGGAATTGTAAATGAAATCGTGCTTCATTCGGTAGCGCCGGCAGTGACTGGCGGTCAGAGTCGTACAACCGTAAAGCAACAAGTTGGGAAGCCGGGGAGCTTGGGGCATTGCAAGCAACATGGCATGATATCGTGAGTCACGGCAGACCTGTGGAAATCTTGGCATGGAACTTCTTTGGAGGGGGGAGAACAAATTGGCCAGCAAGGCGCTCCGGCTGGAGCCAACTATCTGGTCAACTTGGGAAAATACGGGGCTTTCCAGAAACAAACCACACGAGAGCAGGAAGCCTAGGAAGCCAAAGCAGCACCAGCCAACCCTGGGCTGTGGGTGTGAATTTTAATTTAGGGGCCCGTTGGTGAACATCATTTTGGGATTCACGTCCACCCCCACAATGGGACGGGGTCCCCCAGTCAAAATCATAGTCATGTGTCAAAAGCTAGAGAAAACATGGGGCTTGCAGGAGTTCTGACACTATTTTGTCCCGAGCCAGAGAATGCCATGAGCGGCTTGGGAAGCAAACCCTATAATACACGTGTGTTCTACTCGGCACCCAACTCACTATTCGGAGATCTGGCAACGGGGGGGGGACCCTTCATGGACTCTGTTGCCCCCTCCTCGGTGCGGCAAAAATAAAATCGTACGGGATCGTACAGGCCTCAAGGCATGGAAATGACACGACAAACAAGATGAAGCCGAGTACATGTTACACGTGCATTATATATGAACAATGATCAAACCGTGTCATTTGGCAGGCACCCAAAAGGTTTGGATTCGTTTTAGGTTTCCCTCAAACCGGCCATTCACTGCAGACGTTGGGACCCCAACTTCCCTTGGCTTGGGCTTCCCGCTGGGCAGCGATAGCGATATCCAGGCCCGCCAGGAGGCCACTGGTCTCAGACAAGCCGCGGGCTCAGCCAAAATGCACAAGGCGGCAGCTGAAGGATTCAATTCAAGACTGGCTGTGTCCAAAGAGATCGAGGGATGCCAAGCGATCCCTGCACGCAAAAAAAAAAATGCCCGCCGCAACCACATTTGGTTGAATTCCCAGTTTAGCGCTAATTGCTGAGAAAGAATCCAAGCAGTTGCATGATATGTTATGTCATGTTGTGTTGTGTTGCGGGATGGTATGTTATTTTTTGTGGTTTTCAATGTTGTGTTGTGTGGTGTTAGGTTCGGTCGCATAATGTACTGGTATGTTATGTCATCATGGCACGGCACGGCATGGCGTGGCGTGGCATTGCGTGGCGTGGCGTTGCGGGGCGTGGCGTTGCGGGGCGTGGCGTGGTGTGGCGTGGTCTAGTGTGCCACGTTGTCATTCGTCACGCGATGCCATGGTGTGTGTGTGTGTGTGTGTGCATGTGGGTGGGTGGGTGGGTGGGTGGGTGGGTGGGTGGGTGGGTGGGTGGGTGGGTGTGGGTGGGTGGGTGTGGGTGGGTGGGTGGGTGTGGGTGGGTGGGTGTGGGTGGGTGGGTGTGGGTGGGTGGGTGTGGGTGGGTGGGTGTGGGTGGGTGGGTGGGTGGGTGGGTGGGTGGGTGGGTGGGTGGGTGGGTGGGTGGGTGGGTGGGTGGGTGGGTGGGTGGGTGGGTGGGTGGGTGGGTGGGTGGTGGGTGGGTGGGTGGGGTGGGTGGGTGGGTGGGTGGGTGGGTGGGTGGGTGGGTGGGTGGGTGGGTGGGTGCGTGCGTGCGTGCGTGCGTGCGTGCGCGCGCGTGTGCGTGCGCGTGTGCGTGCGCGTGTGCGTGCGCGTGTGTGTGCGCGTGTGTGTGTGCGCGTGTGTGTGTGCGCGTGTGTGTGTGC